TCGGATTTACTCAGCTGCCTGAATCCAAGGACCCTTAGGAGGTAGAGACATGGCTGAAGTCAGTCCTGGAGGTTGGCCTGATTTTTCTAGTTGGAGTTCTAGTAGCCTTAGTTAAATATCTTATGGTATAAATTGTACATATTTGGTCCTAGCCTTTGTTCATTGGAGGGGCCAACAGAGGAATTTACTGTCCGGAGAATATGCCATACACAAAGATGGTATAAACTTGAGGAGTAGATATTAATGGAAAATAATTATCCATAAGTGTTATGAATTTCTATGTTTTGCAAATAGAGGCGTGACAGCCTTTCTTCCAGACTATCTTTACAAGAATTTTTGTATGTGGAATAGCTCTGAATGATAGAAATATATTTCTGGAACAAGAGGTAAGTGTGCTTAAAGCCTTGGATGATAGAGATAGTGTCTTCCTTTGAATCAAAAGGCAGGCATGCTCATGGGTCAGGCATACTAAACATAATGTCTACCTCTGTTGCCAAAGGGAGATATTCTTACTGCACATTACTTACAGTTCAGGTTGTCTATGCTTGGACTTCTTTTCCTGGAATGCAACTGATTGCCCCTGCAAGCATCATATGGTCCTCTTTGCTTCTTTAGGTGAGAGTTGAGGCTTGAGGAATCAGCACAAGCACTGATTCTCTAGCTCAGTGGTTCTCAACCTTTTTAATGCTGTGACCCTTTAATACAGTTCCTCATGTTGTGGTGACCCCCAACCAATCGCGACCCACAAGTTGAGAACAGCTAGCAAGGTCACCAAAGACCATCAGAAAACACTGATATTTACATTACAATTCATAACAATAACAAAACTACAGTTATAAAGTAGCAACAAAAATAATTTTATGGTTGGGGGTCACCACAACATGAGGAACTGTATTAAAGGGTCACAACATTAAAAAGATTCAGAGCTACTACTATTTATTGTGAATTAATAAGTTTTCTTCTTTCCTGACTTAGGAGTCTGTGCCTTTTGTTAGCATCCACGGTAGGCTCACTTATTAGCTTGCATGTAGGAGTAGTTCAATAAACTTAATAAGTGTTTGTTTATTGATTAAATAGGACATTAGACATGGTTAAAATGGAATCTTTTGGGGGTCTGGAATGCTTCAATTCAATTTTCATTACTTCTAATGGGAAAAAAATGAGTCAGTTGTTGAACAAACAACTTCTGAAACAGCATTCCAGAATGAATTAATATTGAGAACTGAGGTCCACTCTATACTTCTACTCTCAGTGGTATGAAATAGCTTACATTTATTTTTGTCCATAAAATTAAAAGATATTTTCTTCTTCTTGGCATGGAATTCTTATTTAAGCAGTGATTTGGGGATATAAGCACTTTTATGGTTTTTTGTTTTGTTTTTGTTTTTGTTTTCATTAGCTCCCAGATTTGCCATAATCATCTGCATTAACTGGCTGAAGGAAAAAGAACATGGGAGAATGTGTGTGGGATATTTTAATGGGCCAAATTTAAAATGGTACATATCACTCACTTTCATTGACTAGAACTTGTTTAGACATTACTCTTAGATGGGGAGAAACGTGGTCTAGTCCTGTGTCCATGAAAAAGAGAAATGAGTTTAGTGGGAAGTTTTTTCCCCCACAGATGGAATGTATTTCCAACCAACAGATGTGAAAATGAGCAAGACATGTCTTTAGCATGGTTAAGATCATAGGCTGTATGAAGTAGAGATTGGTAGATGATGAGAGGCTAGTCATGAATCATCTTTGACCTTAAGTTGATCTCCCTGAAGGTGACTGGCAAATGCTGAAGGATTTCAAACTTGGAATAACAAGATTAAGGGAGAATATTTATGAAGTTATAGCAACAGAGAGACAACTTTAATGAAACCAGTGACAAAAGAGATTCACTAATACAATACAAGTAATTATTGAGCACTCTCTGAGGGTCATGAATAGTGATGGTGGCACGGGAAATTGGACTGGAACACAAGGCAGGATGGTTCCTGGGTTCTTTGGTGGAGTCAAAGAATGAAACCAGGGAAGAAAGGTGCTTTAGTGAAAGGTGGAAATTAATTGAGAAACAAGTACATGGGGAGGAGGAAAGAGTCCTGCTAAGTCCCTTTCCCTTCAGTGTATAAAGGCTGCAGATCTTTGTCCCTTGATATCCCCTCTGATTGGTCACTGCCCCTTTTAGATTGGTTACTATAGCAACTCCAAAGCTCAAACCTTAAGTGAGGTTCCCTCCTCCTTCTCCCTTATTGTTTCCCTCTTCCCCCTGGGATTTCTTCTTCCCTCTTTCCCTCCAACAAAGGGGCTTCCATCCCTTTGTTGTGTAAATGTATACCTTTCTGTAGTCCTCAGCTCCCTTATCTTATGGAAATGTACCCTTTGTGACTCTGTAGCCCTATGCTTTTTCCATGGACCCCTTAGACTTCTAAACCTTCCTATTTTACAGCTAAAAACTTCTTTCGGTGGGTACTAGATGTTTGCCAAAATGAAATCAGTAACAAAAGGACCAGTGAGATACCAGTGGTAAGAGAGAAGGTAAAGAATAGTATGTGGCCGAAACCAGTTTGGCTCAGTGGCTAGAGCATCAGCTTGCGGAATGAAGTGTCCTGGGTTCCATTCCGGTCAAAGGGCATGTACCTTGGTTGTGGGCACATCCCCAGAGGGAGTATGCAAGAGGCAGCTGATCGATGATTCTCTATCATCGATGTTTCTAACTATCTCTCTCCCTCTCTGTAAGAAATCAATCAAATATATTAAAAAAAAAAAAAAAAGAATAGTATGTGTGGGAGAATGTCTGAGGAGAGGCATGAGGTAGGAAAATAATGGGATCAGTTTTAAATCATTGAACTCCATGTGCTTGTACAATGGTTAGGTGGCTATGCCAAGCAGGTATTGTTTTTGTACAGCTGTGTCTCCTTAGAAAAGTCAGTACAGAGTTGGTAATGCCCAGGAAGAGACTAAAGAGCACCAAGTGGGGGTCTCATTACACATATTCAACGAGTATGTGTGAATTGACTCCTTGTGTTATTTATTTTTCTGTTAAAAAGGAAACCTTGTTACTCTTTGATTTACTGAACACCTTCTGACTTTTTTTTTTTTCTGATTTCTCCGGTATTCGGGTAGAGTTAGTAAGTACCCATAGCTGAAAGATGTAATAATAGCATTAGATTAAAGAAGAACTATAAAATAATATTAAGTGAGCATCTATTCTGCTTTGACTAAAATGGCTATCATTGGTGGTAGTCTGTCATATCTTCAGATTGGTTGTTACTTCTGCTAGCTATACCAGTGATGTATTAGAAAGTCTCAAGCTCTGTAATTGTGCACATCATATTGCTATCAGCTTAATAATCATAGTTTCCACTTCTTTCTGGTTAAACGCTGCTGTCCTGTAAAGGAGTACTCTTCATCCATGTATGCTCCGAGCTAATTGCTGTTGCAAATGCAGCTTGAGTTTACAATCAACAATAATGAAACCACATGATTTAAGATTACCTAGTTTTGTTTTTTGCTTTATTTCCATCTTTTGCAGTTTTAGGACAGGAGGTAATAAGAAAGAGGAGTGAGCTTCTCTTTATTTACTCCCCTTTTCCTTTCTTTATTGCCTGGTTGAAATTATGGCCATTCTTGGAAGTGAAACATGATTTCATGACTGCTATTTCAGACTGAGCCTAAAGCTCAGGAAGGCCATATATCCCTTATCCATCCTCCACCCTCCAACTTATCCGCGTGCATCATAATCTGTTCAGAAGATGCAGAAATGAGAATTCTGTTTTCTCTTTGCTTAATTTTTGCATATTGAATGGCCCAATTTCATGGAAATGGTGGAGGGCGGTATGTAAACATTATAACAGGAATCATCTGGGTTCTTCCACTGAGTGAGTTAGAAGAGGATGCTAATTAAACCATATAACAGTTTTGGACTCTAAAAGAGCCAGTGAGCATTTTTCTATGTCATAGAAACAAACTGGATTTTGCATGATAAACTGTCACTTCACCAGTGCATTTTCTTGTTACAAGGACAGGGTAAAACTATAAATTGGTTCACCTAAACTTACAAAGCCTTGAAGTACAGGTCCTGCTGATTAGGTTGATCCCATCCGCCATCCATCTGAAGAACCTGATAATGAGTTACCCAGACTTAACTTGGCTTGGAGATACCAGGACATTGTGCTGGTACAGTCTGAAAAGATGTAGCCTACTGCTAGTTTTAATTGCAGTGTGATGTTTAGAAAGGCTGTTCCTATTTTTTCTATTTTAAACTAGTGTCCTAAATACGGTGTGTCCATACTGCTTAGTTTCAGGACACAGGCTCCAGAGTCCAGACACTCTTGCCATTTCAGATTTGGCAGGAAGGTAGGACAGAGTGATATGTTGGGCTGGAACTAGACTGTTTCCAGTGGGATGCAAAGGGCTAGGTTCTACTGGGCCAGGGGTTCTGTTTTGAGGTGCTGGTCGTATGTGTGATACAAAACAAACAAACAAACAAAAAAAGGACACTTTTGTTTCTAGCCTCAGGCTTCCAGGCACAAGCCAGAATCCCAATTCCACGTTTCTCAAGTACCAGAGTATAAAGGGCAGCATCTCGTATGACTGTGCATGGTAGAAGTCTCTTAATACAAACACCTAGTTTTTCCATGAACCCTAACAATGGTTAGTAAATCATCACATGTAGAATTACTCAACAGATTTGCTTTTTGGATTCTGAGTAAATCACCATTTCCATGTATATCTTGGCAATTAATCTTTGAATTTTATCATAATTAGATTAGAATTTTATCATAATTAGATTGAATATCATAAAGTTATAAGAAAAATACACACCTCACATTGCCAATAATATTAACTTGATATTTGGATTATGTAGTATCATTGCATTGATTTTTTACCATTTTAAATTTCTGGGTGAGAATTTAATTTTACACATTGTAGTAGTTTGAATTTTCTAATCAGCAAGGTTAATGGTTTAATGGTTTTCTGTTTTCCTTGACTTGTCCTTTCCATCACAGGAAGCGTCTCAGGTATCTGGATTCCCCGAGTATGTTAAAATAGTAGAAGTTGGACCTCGGGATGGATTGCAGAATGAAAAGGTAGCTTGATATAACTTTTGCACAATCACTTATGTTAAATTAAATATTAATATTTTAAGGCTCTAAAAGACTTATATTTCATATGCTACAATATAATATTTGTTCTCAATTGTTAGTTGAATTTATAAATCTTAACTAGGACTTGCTTTCAGTTAGGAAGTAATTTTCTGTTTGTTTCAATAGATCCTTTACAAATTAATTATAATAATTTTTAATGTTTTCCTAGGTTATAGTTCCTACAGATATAAAAATTGAATTTATCAATCAACTTTCCCAAACTGGCCTATCTGTAATAGAAGTGACCAGCTTTGTGTCTTCCAAATGGGTACCACAGGTATGTAAATCCATAACTCCTTATCTGGATTCTTAATTCAGCTTTGCTAAGATTTAGAAAGCAATGGGATGTACATTGTGATATAACTATTAATTTGTTACCTCCTTACAAAATTTTAGCGCATACACTGAGTTAAGATGAAAGGAAAAACCCTTTGATGAAATATGTTATATAAATTAAGTCCTAAAAAGTTACTTAGAATTCTACGTTAATTCCACGTGAGTATATGGTTCAACATCATGAGCATAAGGCTTGTCCCTGACTTCTTTCACCCCCACTCAGTTTAAGATTCCCCTGAAATTCTGCCTTCAGCAGTGTTCTCTGGGCTCTTTTGCCTATCCTCCCAACATTAATTGTCGCTTCTTAGAGGATGACAGATCTGTGTTTCTAGTCTTCCCTTTTCTGGTAAGCTTCAGCTACATGTACCACCAGTACCTCAAACCAGTGGGTTCAAAATCAAACTCATTGTCCATCCTACTGTATGCTAATAGCTCAATTGTTCCCTTTGAAATCGTATACTTGAATGTTCAACGGGTTATCTCCTATATCTAGACAGTGACTAGCTCATACAAATTCTTATTCCTCCCTAAAACATATACCCATCTTTTCTTTACAGTCCCATTATACATTAGTAGCCCACACCCTTATTGACAAATTATTGTGGAAGACCCTTAAATGATATCCATACGCATTGTTTCTCCTTAATTTCATTATATATATATATATATATATATATATATATATATATAGTATTCCCCAAAATGTACACACACTTTGAATGATTATAAAGCTAGTGTTTATCAATATACAGTTCATTTTCAAAATTTAAAATAATCTAATGAAATTAATAATTTTTTTTTTGTTAATGCCTATTTTCAAACTGATGACCATTCTGGTCCAGGCACTGCTGATAATGCAAATCATTTCCTTCAGTATTTTTTGCCCTCAATTTGCCAAATATTGCCAGTTTTGTGCTGTAAACTTTATCTTTTATGTATCTCCATAAAAAAGTCTAGTGGGATTAATTTTTTTTGTTCAAACTTTAGTCTGGCTTTACCCAATATTCAGACAAGTTAAACCTGAAAAGGAAAGAAAATTAAGTTAGTTGTTAAAGTGTGTATATATTTTGGGGGATACCTGCTGTCTCCCCAAAAAATATATATATATACTTTGAATTATTATAAAGGCAGTGTTTGTACTTCAACTGTGTTTTAAAACTTCCAGTAGCATTTTAGGATGGATTTCATTTTTTATTTTTAATTTATGTTTATTATTGAAACTATTACAGATGTCCCCTTGGCCCATTGACTCCTTCAAGCCAGCTCCTGCCCCTGCACCCTAGGCCTTCATCACATATATCTATGGGTTATGCCTATATGCATATAAATTCTTTGGTTAAACTCTTCTCCTTACATCCAACCACCCCAGCTTTCCCTCTGCAATTCATTAGACCATTCCATGCTTCTATGTCTCTGGATCTATTTTGTCCATCACTTTATTTTGTTCTTTAGATTCCACATATGAGTGAGATCATGTGATTCTTGTCTTTCTCTGACTGGCTTATTTCCTTTGTTCAAAGCTTAGTCTGGCTGAAAAGAAAGAAACATCAATTGAGCTGTCAGTAAAGTGTATATACATGTTTTGAGGACGACCTGTATTTTCCCACTCCTAAAATAATCTACCATAAATACCAGTCTTCTCAAACTTCTTTAGAGTTCCTTTCTCCCCACTGAAAAGGTCAGGAAACTTTGGCCTGGTATTCAAGGTGTGTGTATGTTTTTTTGTTTGTTTTTCCCCTGGGCTCTTTTTTCCTTTCCAGTCTTAACTCTCTTTTCCCATTTCATTTTGCTGAAGCCCTGCTCAATCAAATTGCTTTTTGTTTTCCATTTACATGTCCTGCCTCTTTGGCGCTATAATTATTTATTAATACTTACTCATGAGCATCTCAATTTCTGCATTGCTCTGAAGTTATAATAGAATGATGTGCAAAGTCTTAAAACATTAAAGTCTTTTTAATTGCAAGATATAGGAAGCAACCTGGCTCAGTGGTTGAGCATCGAACTATGACCCTCTCTCAGTGATTCTCTCACATTATTGATGTTTCTATCTCTATTTTCCTCTCCCTTCTTCTCTGAAAACAATAAAAATATATTTTACAAAGGACATTGGAAGCAACAGAAACCACAGTATAATTATTATTAGTAATATGCACTTTTCATGGAGTCAATATTCAAATAGCAGTTACTTTTGTTCATTCTCCAAATAGAACATAATTTTTCTTTTATCTCATTATTGTTTATAGTCATATTTTTTGTAAATATTTTTCAATAATCTTCTTCTTGGACTATAAGCCTTATAGAGAGAGTGATGTGTCTCTCTTGTTTATTGTGCCCCTTGTGTTTGGTGCCTAGTGAGTAGGTGTTCAGTAAGTAATTATGAAATGGTTAGTGAATCAATTAGCCTGAAAAAATAGCACATTACTTTCCATTCTTTGGTTTGGACAAGTGACTTTTACTTTTGGTCATATTTTTTGTCCTGTTTAATGAAGATCACAAATATTTTCCTTAGTTTGATGAGACTGTACATATTTTCTTTATATTTCCACTCTGTAAAATACTACATATTATTATTTCACTTACTGCCATTAATTTTAAAAGAATGTGCGACCCTTTTATCATCTCTAAGACTTCATGATATTGCTGCTGTGTTTGATTCAGCTGGTGCTCAGTCCACAGACTTGATTATTTTGGTGGATAGACCCTGGATTCTGATATCACTTTAGAGTAAGGGTAAAGAAAAAGTTCATGGTAATATTAATTAATGACTAATGAAAGGTATATGTCAGACATTACATTTTACTAGTCCTCCTCAATATATTTTTATTTCCCAGTAGTTTTCTAAAACTGCCTACAAAGTAGTCTTCTTTCCTATTATAATGCTCATTGGTCACATTTATTATTAAGCAACACTGGAAATTGATTGGTGGATTATTGTTCAGATTGGTGGAGAACACACCCAGTGGCCTTTAGCAGGAAAAGGATAGGACCCTTTCGAGAGGGCCATACTTCTTGCTAAACTAATGAAGAGAAAAGATGGACAAAACAATAGGGAAGCAGTCCTCTGTGAACAGTTATGGGAAAATGCCTTCTGGCCTCGCATTAAGTAGATGCATGCGATGGAACCATAAAATAACATGATTTATTCTGGACTTCGTCCTGTGGTGAATTTGGGACTTAACCTATTGAGACTTAGTGAACTCTTCCTAGGCTCAAAGTATTATGGAATAAATGATGTAATTCTCCACATAGCTCTTGAGGACAGCTGCGGTGAGGTACACTTTCCTCTGGTGCTGTCTTCCTGTCTACATTCCTCCTTGAGCTGAAGCAAGTGATGTAACCTCTTTGAACCTTGGAAATCCCAGCAGTGATGCCTGCAGCCTGGGAGGTTCAGGGCAGCAAGGCCTGTGACTGAGTCCCTGAGTGTGACTGCCCAGTGCCCAGAGCCCCGGGTCTCCTGACTAGTGTCAGTAATGAATGCCTGTCTGATGGACAGACTGACTGACCTTCCTGGGCTCCACAGAAATTCGTTGCCTTCACTCTTTTTCTTCTCTCTTAGCCTTTTTCTTAAAGTTTAAGATATGTGTTTAGTTTAAATATTTGGGCCCAATCTGAATAATTTATGATACTAATCTTTCAAATTATAAAGAATATGTTGTATATTTCACTTTTATTACTCATCTGGTTACCTGCATTTGTAAACAAAAACAAAAAAAAGATTTTTAGATAAATCATCTATCTATAAGAGCAGTGTGCCTGAATCAAAGACATGATGAGGTTCCTATTCTAAAATTACACTGGTCACTTACTACAGAACATATCAAGTGTATGTCACAAGGCAATATTGAGCCGTAGTTGGTTTGGCTCAGTGGGTAGAGTGTCAGCCCACACAGTCTGAATGGTTGTGGGTTTGATTCCGACCAAAGGCGTGTTCCTCTATTGCAGGCTAGATCTCTGGCCCTGGTTGGTGCAGGCGGGAGGCAACCAATTGATGTGTCTATCTCACATCCATGTTCTCTTCGTCTCTCCCCCTCCCTTCCACTCTTTCTAAAAATCAATGGAAAAATATCCTCAAGTGAGGATTAATAACAAAAAGGCAATATTTTGAATATTCCACTTTTGCTATTTTATTTTCCATAGTTGTGTTTGTGTTTTAAAAATCACTGGGCTTGACTAAGCAGAGCAATTTTTTATTGTTGTAGCTGCAGATCATCTCATTATTTATCTGCTGATTTTATACCAACAAAAAAGGCCATCAGTGAGAAGAACCAACTCACAGTGATAACTCCCCTTTTGAAATTTTACATCTTTCATGTTTTAGAAGACACTGTTATGACATCAGACTCACCTCCCTTAAAGTCATGTCTGAGGTCTGTGACAGAACAGCCTTAGCACCACAGCTTATGTGTAATTGTCCGAAGTAACTTCTATTTCTTCTAAAGACTGAGCGTGGCCCCAAACTGGTATTCTATTAACTCTGCGTCTTCTGTTTCTTCCCGTCAGACCTAGCCATGGGAACAGTTCTCCAGTTTATGTTTAGATTGCTGCTTGTTCACTTATTTCTTTTTTTAGTGTTTTAAAGTTTTTCATTTTTTTACGATTTCCCTCCTACTGTTTTGTTTGGCAGTGGCTTTCTAACTAAATCAGCTAAAGAAAGCTCCCTGGAGCAGGGTGCCATATAAAACAGGATCCCACACCTATACTCTAAATGACCAGAGATGATAAAATACCTGCCATGAAAAAAAATGTTCTTTACAACTTATCTAGAAAGAGTTTTCCTTAAAGTGTCTTACGAGAACATTTCGCATGAGTCCGGACAGCCCTCCAGTTCAGTGGGACAAACAATAACAGCTGAAAGAAAACATGTTTATAAAAATAGACAGGTTTATGGCAACTTAGAAATGTGGCTCTTAGTAGTCAGCTATTTAAATCGTTATAAATGCA